CAAAGAGAAAAAAATCAACACATTAAAAAAAATTACATTAACCAATCACTTTTTGCCCCACACTATACCTATTTCAACCACTTTGTTGTGGAATTAATTCATAATCACAACATCAATCAACTCATAGTCCGTAAAGTTATTGATTGCACAAAACACAATTAATATCATTAGTGTTAATGCTCCACAAGTGGGTTGGAAAGGCCTTTTGAAAGCAAAGTTCTAGGGGGATAAGAGGGGATGACTCAAGACATTCCACAAACTGAAAAGATTTTTAAATGTAGACTTTAATGGACATGGGTGTGAGGCAAGAAAATTTACAAGAGTTTATCGAAGTCTATCATGTGCATCTAGTTATTGTTCTTAGGGCTTCAAGTTTGAGGAGATCCCTTAGAGGATCCAGAGGCAGCCCTTCTAGAATTTAGGCCATCATCTATATCAAGATCATTGTTTTTGTCTTTAACTACAATAATATTTGATTTTTGCTAATGTCACATTTTTTAAAACTAATAATATTTCTCCAATTCTAATATTCTTGATGTCAATTTCAGAATGGATCCTCCTACCATTCCTCTTATTGTTCCAACCCCTATCTTTGCCTCTTCTACCCTCCCCTCTTTTGACTTATGGTGACACCTTTTCCCCTGTGGTCAAAATACTTTAGTCCACTTTTTTCTTGCCATGACTATTATTCATCATTGGCCCATTCATCAACTTTATATTAAAAATGCTTTCTTGCATAGTGATTTATAAGAGCTTTATATGGAACAACATCTAGGAATTACTATTCTTAGTTAGTCTCATCTTGTTTGTTGTCTTTGACATTCCTTCTAAGATTTATAGAATAATAGAAAAATTAAGGAATATGTTACTCACCAAATACAAGTTGGGTGGTTTAAGAAGAGAAAGGCATCTAAAAGTATTTGTGACCATAAGGTACCTATCAAGCTAACAGGAAAGTTTTATCATACTACAATACTACTAACTATCTTATACTATAGTGAATGCTGCACCTTAAGGCAACAACACAAAAAGAAAGTGAGAATGACAAAAATGAGAATGTTAGAGTGGATGAATGGACACACGAGAAAGAACAGGATATGAAATGATAATATACAAGAGAATATTAGAGTAACATCTATAGTGAAAAATATGATTGAAAATCGTCTAAGGTAGTTTAGTCACGTTTAGAAAAGACCTTTTTGGAGACACAAGTAAGGAGAGTAAATTGCATGACTTAGTCCAGTAAAGGGTGGTGTGATCCATATAGCCAACCTCACAGAGTTGGATAAGGCTTTTATTGTTGTTATTGTTTATGTGGATGATATTATTAGTGATGATTTCAATGGCATCTAGCAACTCAAAGATCATTTATATAGACAAAGGATTTAGGCCCTCTAAAGTACTTTTTAGGTATTGAAATTGCACAATCATCTTCTAGTATTGTCATTTCCCAACACAAGGATGCTTTGTACATCCTCATTGAGATTGATATGCTTGATTGTGGTTCGTATGATACTCGTATAGATCCTAATGCCAAGTTTCTTTTGGGTTGAAGGGAGCCATTGTACTTAAGGAAGTATTGATAACTTGTGGGCAAACTCAACTATTTCAGTGTTACTAAATCCGACATCACTTTTACAATTAGTAATGCAAATCAGCTTCTCAATGCCCCGTGTGATAGCCATTGGGACATTCTAATTTGTATTCTTTGATATGTAACACCTTGAATTTTAATTTTTAAAATAAATAAATTTCGTAATAATGGGAATGATAAAAATTTTCATTCAATTAGTTTACAACACATAATTTCAATAAAGTCCTTCAAAATAAGGATGAATTACAATTTGAATCAAGTAATTGCTATTGGACTTAATTAATACATTTTAATTTCAAAACTAAATATTCTAAGCCCTATAGCAGTATCATCTATCCCTTCACTGAGTCCGATGCTGATCGTCTTAGTCACATGAAAAATAAATGTAAGGATGAGTACTCTATACTACCACACACATACATTTATTAACATAATTCTAATCAAGCATCCTACGAACACAAGTAATACTTTTCAATATACTATTCTAATTCACAAACAGGTGCGCTCATTGCACCGTCAAACAATTTACACACACGTGTGCTCAATGCACATAACCACGCTCACTGTGGCACTGTGATATTTCTATCGCCCTCATCTTCCACACCTCTAGTGTATCGCTGAACCATTAATAGTTTTCTAACATTTCCAAACACAATCATAATCACAATTAACATGTCGTTTCCACACTTTCAACCATTTCATATCATTCGTCATCAACAAATAGCATGTTCACACATATCAACCACATTATACTCAAACACAGAATTTCCAACACCATTTCATCACACACAACATTCATTATTCATCATACAACTTTCTCAAACAACAATCACATTATATTACACACCACATTTCCATCAAGATTTAATCACAACGAAACCATTCTCATCAAAATACACTTCTTCTTATAAGAATTAAAGTGCAGCTGAACTTCCCTGAAAAGCAAAGAAATAAGCAAAGAGTCGTGGGAGGCAAAGCTAATCTAAGATTCAATTCAAGAAGAAACCTGATCAAAATTGATGTATAAGGAAATTTAACTCAGTTCAAAGTGACAAGAGGAATAGAACTATCAAAATAACATAATAAAGAAACAAGACCAATAAAAAAATAGAAGCAATGTAAAATCTGATAATAACATAGGTAAGAGATGTCTAACAACTAAAACTATCCTAATTTCAACTAAACTACTGCACTAGCATCACTTGAGTCTTCATCATCTGTACTCAGGAAATGGTCAGAAGGAGATGGGGTTGGATGGAGGACTGTCGGTGCTGAGATACCGAAATGTGTGAACAGAGCAGCAAAGTTGGCTTCGATTGTAGATTCCAGTCTAGCCAAATGGTGAATGCAGTCTTGGTGACTGCTCCTCAAAGACCGTTGGGATGCAATTGGGATCTTTAGGGGGTTCAGAGGGACTGTTGACCCTGGATAGGTGAGAGGGTAGGTCATCTTGAGCATCAGTGGGGGTATTGGCTATTGGTTCAAAGTGCATGGTCTTCATTGTGTCGTGCAGGATAGGGGTCATGTGATTAACCAGTGTTAAACCAGAAATATCGTTCAAAATTCCTAATCCCTTAGCCAGGCGAGTGACATATGGACCCGCATAAATACTCCCAAGCCGATAATCATTGGCTTGAGAGAACATAAATTTTGCTAGACAAATACCGAGGTGGATGGGGATCTTATCAATCATGCTACGCAGGTATTCTAGGTCCTTTGTACCCACAACCCTAAAGCTGTGACCTCTCCTAGTAAGAGTGTGTGCTAACAGAGCATGTACATATCTCCAAGTCGGTTTCTTCAATGTGGATGCGTTGGATCGAGTAGGATTCTAATCCTTATCGATAGCGCTAATCCTTTTCCAAAAATCTTTATTGGAGTAACCCAAAAGAGGGATATGGGCTAGGTTTTGATACTCTTCAGTGAGTACAAAATCAGAAGTGTAAAGCCCCATTTGGAAAGAAAATTCAGAGTAACTCATCTTGTACATGTTGTTCATCATCTGAAATTGAATAGAGTCTTTAGAATCCCAACCAGAAAATTTCTTTTCAACAACTAGGGTAGTGAGGAATTCTAATGTGAGTTCTCTATAGGTAGGCTCAATAATAGAAAACAGAACTTCCCAATGCCCTACTCCTACCAATTCCCTTACTTCATCAACCAAATTATAATGTTGTAAAACGTCTCATTCAATAAATTTGCTTTGGCCTCAAACCTTATTTTTCAGTTTATCACACCTTGTGAGGTGGGCAAGGGCGTTAAACCGGAGCAGTTGGGATGAGGGAGGGTGTGGTGGGCGTTCATGCTGGGAGCGAGGGCGCTTCCTCACTGGTTCCTTGCCCCTCCTGGGCGCTCTGGAAGAAGACCCATCAGCCATGGTGGGTTGCAGAAAAACTGGGCGTGGAGAGGGAGGAGAGGGATTGCAGAATATTTTCTGCACAAAGAGGAAAGATAAAGATGGAGCGTGGGGGTTGAAGCTTGGGGTTTTGGTATTGAGAGAGGGGAAAGGGTAACCTAGATTATGAAAGGCAGAGGGGAGTTTTGAGGGTTTATAGAAACAGAGGGCACAGCGCAGGATTAGAAACAGGGAGGGGGAGTATTTTGAATTCATCGCGCCAGATACATAGCCGTGTATCTGGGCATGTAAATCGCGGGCCATGGAATTTTAAAACAGAACACGAACTGAGCATGTACATGGTTGGATACACGGCCGTGTATCTGACCGTGTACATCTCTGGACAACAGAAAATAAAACTACATCTCTGCCCAAACCTCGTCTAAGCAAAATGAAGGTACACGGTCGTGTACATCTCTGCCTAACAGAAATACCATGAAACAAAAGTACACGGCCATGTACATGGCCGTGTAGATAACTGTGTATCTCACTGCCTTCTCTCTCTCTATTTTTTTTTCTTCTCTTTTATTTTTTTATTTTTATGATGATTATGATTATGAATAAATGAAAATAATTGAGCCAATGAATAACTAAATTGTAATAAACTAAAACTATCTAACCTAAGCAAATAATTAACCAAATTAAAACAAACTAAACCTACCTAACCTAGACTATGCACAGTAATTTATCATTCAACATGGAGGAGCTTGAGCTCTTCATTCTCAAAAGTTTGAATTTGACCTCCTGGTATAGTTTTAGCCTATGTCCATTTACCTTAAAGTTTCCTTTTTTTGGATGAGTCAATTCAATCGTACCATAAGGGAACACTTTGTGCACAGTAAACGGTCCAGACCAACAGGATTTGAGTTTACCTGGGAATAATTTGAAGCGAGAGTTGTATAACAGTACTAAATCACATTTTTGAAATAGTTTACCTCCCTTGATTTTCTTATCAAGTTAGACTTTCATCCTTTCTTTGTATATCCTAGAATTTTCATAGGCTTCCATGCGTCATTCTTCCAATTCATTCAATTGCATCAACCGCTTGTTACCTGCATGATCAAGATCCATATTCAGGGATTTAATTGCCCAAAATGCCTTATGTTCTAATTCAACAGGGAGATGACAAGCTTTACCAAACACAAGTCTATATTGTGTAGTGCCTATGGGAGTTTTAAAAGCTGTCCTGATAGCCCACAAGGCATCATCTAATTTATCAGTCCAATCCTTCCTATTCTTCTCTACTGTCTTTTCTAACACTATTTTCAACTCCCTATTGTCTACTTTAACTTGGCCACTCGTTTGAGGGTGATATGGGATAGCAATTCTATGGGTAAGTGTACCCATTGTCAGAGTAATATTGTGAAAAAATAGAGTACCAAGTGTTGTATCCACAGGGACTGTTATTAAGAATTACTTCCTTAATTGCGCAATTGTTAATGAACATAAGAAATAAATTTTGTTGATGAAATTACTAAAAATAGAAGAATAATAAATTAAAAGGAACAAATTTCTTATGATAATAAAATATAGAAAAATATGACTAAATGTATTCAAGGGAAATAGGCGAGTATCTAGATTGTAAATTCTTTTAAGTGTCCAAATAACTGAAATTCTCCTTTAACTACTTAGTTCTAAATCCTAATTGCTGCAGGAGATTCTGAATTAAACTAATACCTTTCTCAAGGATAATGATTCCTAACCCTCAATTGATCAATCAGAATCTCTTCCTTAATTAATATCCCTAGGTTGCATTAAGTTTATTATGAATTTCATAATTAGAGTTATTCCTAATACAGAAAACTTATGTCTTTCTATCTCTAGAAATACATTCGAGTCCTTTTAATTGAGTAATGTTAATTTCATGTAGGAATTTTACTCAAATTCAAACAAGAAAACAAGATGGAAGACAATTGATACTACTCAATTAAACCCAAGAGAAGAAAACATGAAATAGCATTAAGAAGAATTCCAGAAGGTTTGGTCACATAAGATTCATTATGTCTGTCATGCCTATAGTATATTATTGAGAAAAATATGTAGTACTTTGTGAGTAGAAAGAAAACCGCGTATTGTACAGTAACCCCTGATGTCATCAGTGACATCACATTGATGTCATCAGCGACATCATGCTTATGTCATCGGCGACATCACATTGACATCATCGCTTATGTCATCGGTGACCTCACGCTGACATCATCGCTTACATCATCGATGACATCATGTTGACGCTAATGTCTTTCAAAAAAAGTTTATAAATAGGGGACTTCACACGAAATTTTCATTTCTTTACTCATATCCAAGGTTCTCAAAGGTTCCAAGACTATATCTCACCATTTTCTCTCATCCTAAACTTAGATTTCTCGTCAGATCTGAGATTCTACATCTATTCTGAGGGATTTGAAGTAAGTTTCTTTAAGTTTAAAGTTAGATTTACTGTTCATTTCTCTTCTTCTTCTCTTTCTTATAGATAGTTGATAATATCTTAGGAGAAACTCCGTTCTGAAGCCGAATCTTCAGTGAATCTTGCATTAAAACAAGTAATATTTGGTAGATTTGGCGTCAATCATCGTTTTGAGGTAAGGGTAGCTTACTTTAGCCTATGAACTATGTTTTAAACAGTTTAATATGTTATTTCAAGATGTTTTGATATGATTTTGTTAGATCTGTTGAATAAAAGCTATTTTATAAGCTATAACTGCTGTTAATTGATTAAAATGTTGAGATTTTAACTAATCTATCATAAACTTGTCTTAATTGAGCTATTAAAACAATTTTAGCGGTGCTGCATCATGTTGAGATGTATGTTTTGCATTATTACAGAGCCGAGTTACATGTTTAGGTGGGTAGACGTGTAACGGTAGGTTCATGCTGAGCTGTTGTGCTATATTGTTTGGATCTAGATATCGGAATAGGTCACTCTCGCACCGGCTCAGTTCCTTTTGGATTACTTAGACTATGAAATCAGTTGGAAACCATTTTCATGTTGTGCATTAGATGGGCTGGTAATGCATGGGTTGTTGCCGTGAGTAATGTTTTGTTCTCTATATATACGGTTTTATATTATTTTTGTAAGCTCACCCTTGCATTTCTGTCTATCTCGTTGTGTGTGTACTGCAATGATCGTACAATGGTACATGAGCAGATGTAGCAGGTGTTGCATCTACTTCACAGGCTGAGGGGCCAGTAGAGAAATATTAGAAGCTGGAGTTGAGTAATTTTGCATCAAAGTCCATTTTCCTTATATTTTGAGACCTTAAGTAGAGGGAGCTACATAGTATAATTTTGTGTATTTTGAATTTTTGTGTATTTTGAATATTATGAACTAAATGTAATATTATGTTGTTCTATTGGATATTTGTTGTAAGAAATTTGTTTTACTTTGAATGAGAAGTGAATTTTATACTTATATTCTCTATTATTTATCTATCCTAAATGAGTATAGGGTGTAGAAACAATGTTCTCGGTTCCTTATAAGAATGGGTCGTGACAACATCTTGATACTCAAAGGAAAATTAGAACCTAAACATCCTAAAACTAAAATTACAAAAGAGATGAATTAAAGAACTTGATTCCATTCTCCAGCCGTCACTGACTTCATCTTTCCCCAGAACTGCCTCCCTTAGGTTTTTGTGCCAAGTTCCCTTTTATATGAGTCATCCAAGGGCTCATCTTCTCGCAGAAGTTTAAATTTTGACTCACGTTCAATGTACACGCCCATGTACATGCCCGTGTACTTTGGCCGTGTACATCTCTGGCATCTAACAATTGCCCTTCACAGGGTTTCTAAGAAGTACACGGCCATATACTTTGACCGTGTACATCTCTAGTTTTGATGATGCACTTCAATTGATGCGACCAGTTAGATACACGCTTATATACACAGGCGTGTACTTGCCTGTGTATATCTCTGTTTTGATTATGTGCTTGATTTATGCAACCAGTGAGATACACGTTCATGAACACGGCCATGTACTTGCCCATGTATATCTCTGGTTCTTTTCTTGCTTCAATTCCCAGTATCCTTTAAGCTCTCACTTCTTAATCCTTTTTCCTGAAATATGAATAAAATAGGCTTAATAATAAATTCTCTCAATGAATAGCTCAAAAATCTCAATTATCATTCATGAATTACAATGTAAGACCAAGTATAGAAAGCATTTATCATTATTATGTAAGCTCACCCTTGCTATTTTGTATGTGCTAGTGTGTGTGTCTGGCAATGATCGTACTGTGATACGTGAGCAGATGTGACAGGTTTTGTAGCTACTTCTCATGCTGGAAGGTCTGGCTGAGGAAAGCATAGAGTTAAGAGTTTTGTGAAGATTGTAATTTTATCTTGTTAGTCTAGGTTTGGGCTATTTAGTTACAGTCTTCAATAATGTTATTATTATTCAAAAATTTATATTTTAAGCTCTTTATAGAGCAATCTTTGTATATGTACGAACATATTTATGTAAATTCTTGGATTATATGAATATGCTTTCAGAGCATTGTTATCCTGTTGAATTGAGATACTGAAATTAAAATTTTAAAAGTTTGTACTTCTATTCTATGTGTATATTATCATATAAGTAAATAATTGAATCGAGAATAGTAATGCAGAAAGTGTCTTTAACCCTTTATAAAAATAAGTCGTGACATTTAGTATTGCTAAAAATTCAGTTCACTATGAACGAACTAAACATGTCCAAACTAATCAGCATTTCATCAACGAGAAGTTAGACAAAATGATTATCAATATAGATCATGCGCATCAAGCAACAAAACAGTGATATTTTAGACTAAAGTTGTGGTTAGACACCCTAAAAGCATCAGGTCCGTCCAATCTAGGGATGATAGATATCTATCACCTTGATTGCCCAAATGTACAATTGTAAACAATTTTTTTTCTAGATTTGTTAGTGATTGTAATTACAGAATTATAGGCTTAGATTTGTGCTCAATTTGTAATTCTATTCCTTGAAATACCTCTGGTTTAATCATTATAACAATGAAAAATAAGAATCCCTTTTTCACACTTATAGATTCAGCCTGAATGGATTCAAAAGCACCACCCTCGTGCCTTAATGAGGGTTGTTATGAACAGCTATAAAGACTTATCAGGATTAGGATTTATGTTAGTATTATAATAATAGGCTTGGCCTAGTAGGGTTACATATGTATCCTTATAAATATAAAGGTTTTTACACATTATAGTGTATCCAATTCCAACACACTAATTTGTCTCTCTTTCTCTCTCTCTCTCTCTATACTCTCTCTTAATTCTACATGGTATTAAGAGCCTCCTAGGGTTCCTTCTTCGTCGCCACCACTGCTGCTGCCGCCTGTAACATCCCTTATTGATTTACATAATTTTCCTCTAAACAAAAATAGAAGTATCAATATGATGCTATTAAAATAAGTAAAAGATAAATAAATAGAAAGGATTTTCATATTTGTAAAAATCTAATTTACTGAAAATGAGAAAAACTTTAAAACTTTGTATATATAAATCTCGTTCATAATAAAATTGAGGATATAATTTTGAGATTATCAACTTACAATTACAGGAAAGCTAAAATTTCTATATTGATAATTAATTACTAAATATTAGATATGTGCTTTGAATCATCATTTACAATAGATTTATTAAAATACTTCAAACTCTTATTAAAAACTTAATTAATGTAATTACATTCTTCAAAATGACCGGTCCTAACAGAGCAGTCTCTTTCCTAGCATCCCTTGCTAGTATGATCGTGGAACGGATCAATTTCCCTTTCTATCGCTTCGTTACCTGAAAAAGTTTATAAGGGTGAGCATCCTTTACCCACTAAATTCTAAATTTATAAAGCAATCATATCAATCCAGAGAATATTTTTGAAATGAAATCTAATACATTAGGAACATTCCATTTTTAACAAATTTATTCATATACATTATTTATCACTCAATCAATTGACATTCATTTCTCCTTTATTACTATGGTCACTCCATTCCCCATTTTATGTCACTTTAATCATTTTGATTCCAAAATATTCATCAATTCATATCTAAAGTACCTACATTCTTACTTCATCTAATTCACACGTGTAATACAACATCTTTGCTATTTAAAGATAGATAATTTATTGACATCAATTCCATCATTCAACGGTACTCTAGCTACTCTCAGGCCTATAAATCGCTACCAACGCACTCTCACTAGTTGCGAAGGACTTACGAAGCATAGACAGTCAATGGTAAGTTAAACCATACACGCATACAACGTGTGAGTTCATAGCCTTCCAAGCAAAGGTATAGTTAGGAGTTCGGTCAAGAAATGAGCATGAGACCTATAAATGCATCCCACTTTTACATTGTGT